TGCTTCAGTCTGTGACTCCCTCTCTCTCTGACCCTCCCCTGTTCACGCTGTCTCTCTCTCTCTCTCCTGGAAATAAATAAAACATTTTAAAAAATAGTCTATAAATAAATAAATAAATAAATAAAGTTTTTTAAAAAAAGAAGGGATATACTCTAGGTGTGGTAAGACATTTAAAAACAAGGTAAGAGATAAATAATAAATAATAAACAACAATAGTCATACTGAATTAACCCAATGAAATCACGGACAAGTCAGCCCTGCATATTCCAAGGTACATCTAGGCAATCATTGTATTATAAATCCAGCTTTATGACAGAAATTCAGAAACAGAATTTTGGAGCAAATGACTTGCCCAAGGACATGTGACTTTGATTTTTAAATTGTGACTAGAATTTAGGTTTCCTAATTCCCAGTCCAGCATTTTTTCTTCCTCAATGTACTTCACAATCCTGTGGTAGCTATACCTCTCTGAAACACTTGGTACCAAAAGAGACAAAGGCAGAGGAAATGAAAGAAGTGGGGTTAATGGAGAAAGACAGATAGTGTGTTCCTTTCATTGGTAAGAGAGAAAAGCTAGGAGGTGAGTGGTCATTTCTTTGAATCAGCTTAGGAGATTTATTTAGAAAACTGTAATCTAAAATTTCCAAAAGCTGATTTCTTTAAATTTAGCAAACTAGTTACAAAGAGAATAAAGCACGGTGGCTACGGCAAAACCAAATTGTGTAGGTTTCAATCCTGGTTTTACCACTCCCTAATTGCATTGGGCCAGTTTTTTAGTTACTGTGTGCCTCAGTTTCTTCATCTATAAAATATGGGAAGTGTGGTAATAATAGCATCTATTTCATTAAGCAATTGTGAGGATCCTATCAGATAATGTATACATAAGGCTTAACACTGTACCTAAGAATAGTAAGTGCTCAATAAGTGTTAGCTGTTATGATTGTACTTGAATAACTGCTATAGTCAGTGCTCAAAGGTCCCTGGGCTTTATAATGGGAGTATCTCCAAAGTTTGGTGAGAAAGTCAGAAAATTACATCTTCTGAAAAAGAAACAAATATTACTCGACACAGATTAGATGAAGTCAGCCTTAAATGAAGAAGAGGGCAGGGCACCTGCCCTGTGGGTTAGTGGGTTAAGTGTCGGACTTCAACTCAGGTCATGATCTCACAGTCGGAGGGTTTGAGCCTCATGTCGGGCTCTGTGCTGACAGCTCAGAGCCTAGAGCCTGCTTTGGATTCTGTGTCTCCCTCTCTCTCTAACCCTCTTCTGCTCACTCTGTCTCTCTTTCTCTCTCAAAAATTGATAAACATTAAATTTTTTTTTTTAAAATGAAGAAGAAGAGAGCAATAGACTAGAAGTCGGATGACCCAGACTCATCGGCATTTCACCTCTCAGCCTTAAGACCTTGATGAAGTCACTTAAGCTCTCTGAATCTCTTTACTCATCTGTAAAATGGGGCTAATGCCTGCCTCTCCTACCTCTCAGAGGATCAAAAATGAGCAAAGAGATTATGAAAGCAGCTTCCAAACTGTAAAGCACTGTAAAAATAAACATTATTATTATAGCCAAAATAAATGGTAATCTGACTGAATATATTTCTAAGTTATTATTGCCAGAAACCAAAATGGGGTCAAGGGAGAGCACAGTAAGATTAAGAATGCTTCAGTGATTTTCAAGTGAGGAGGGCAGAAAGCACTAGACTGGGGTGTTTCAACAACTCTGAAATGCTTCTCTTGGTCCTAAAAGAGCCTGGATAAAATATCCCACAAGACTATCAACTCCCTTTGCTCCAATTCTATGCTCAGCAAGCAGCTTATTATTAATTGGGTTTCCAAGATACTGTGACACCAGAAAAGGAGTGTGCTAGACAGCAGACAAGAAAATATTCCAGTCAATAGGAAAGATCTAAGTGACATTTTAATGTATTCATTTTTATCTTTAAAATGTGATTGTTGAGAACTTTCCACAATCCTGAGTGAACTAGGTCTTCAAATCTGCAAAAGCTAAAACCAAGCAAAGAAACAAAGTCCCTAGACCATTCCTAACTCTACTGGGTTGATCTTTTCCATGAAATTCAGTTTGTACACAGTTACATAGTCTCTTCCAGCATCAGCTCATAAAATGCAACAGTTGTTTCAATTATGAATTACTAACCTGGAGGGAAGAAGAAACATTTGTGGAATATCTACAATGCATTAGTCTCCACAATAAGATTGCTCACATACATTATCTCATTTCATTCTCACAACAATCTTGCAGCACATAATTATTATTACCCTCATTTTATAGATGAGGAAATGAAAGTTCAAAGGAATTAAGTATTTTGCCCAAGGTTATACAACTATTAAGTTACTAGATTGGATTTGAACAGAAGTCTGTTACATTTCTAAAGACATGATCATGCTTTTAGCCCGGGGACATAGCTGAAGGAACCCAGCGTAATACTCAGATTGAGGTTTATCAAAATAATATTAATGCCACAAAACCAATTTATTTTTAAAAGGCATATGAAATTTGATTATGGGGGCCTTTAAAAAAATACTGTAAGCAGCCAATTAAGGTAGGGGTTAGTCATTCAGCTATGTAAACAGGTTCTAAGTAAACAAACCTGCCAAGTTTCCAAACTCAAAAGGCAAAGTGAATTTTCTATGCACTAAAAAAAATGAAATTGCCTACAATTAAATCTACTATGTAGATAGGGTTTGATATTAAAATGAATTCTATCACAGCCTCTAAACCCTGCCCTACTTATCCGCGGCATTAGAAACCTGTTGTCGCTTGAGGTGGGAGCACCAGGTTCCCAGTCTGCGGCACATTTGTTAGAACCTGGAACGGTTCCTTCAGTTTGGGCCAACTGGGGGAGATAAACTGAGGTCATTCATCAAGATGGGGAATTACAGTTTCCAAAGCACTTTCCCCTTCATTTGAGCCTCACAACCACCTATAACCCGGTTAGAAGAGAACTCAGGGCACTAAAGCTTATGCTAGAACGGGCTCGCTGGTAACTCGCCTGTCACTAAAATGCTAGCCCTGATCACTCCGGGACTGTCGCACAGAGTAACAGAGGCATAAGACCATATTTCCCAAGACTTCAGAGCCTAGGAGAAAGGGAGGGTACTTTGCCCCTTGGCCTTTCGGGGTCATAAGAAGTGTTTGGGCGAAGTTCTTCTTCCTTGTCTGAGGGCTCTGGACTGTCTACCAGGGCAAACAAACCCACGGGTGTGGCCCCATGCTAAGAATACCCCTGGCAGTTCAAGGGGGTCCCTCCCGGTCCAGTTCAGGCCAGGCCTCAGCTGAGCACCTGGCACAGATCATTCCTTCTGAGGCCCAAACTGGACTGCCTCAACCCTGGAGCGCAGACCACTCCCACGAGGTTGGGTTAGGTCTCCACTCTACCTGGGGACCCGGATATCCATCCTGGGCCTGCCTGCCTCCCTTAGACCTCGAGAGCTGGCTCGTCTCTCCAGGCTGGGGCGCGGCCTCCGCCCCCCGAGGCCCGGGTCAGCTCCCTCTGCCTTGTGCTGTGGGGCACGGATCCCCTGCCCCCACGCCTGACGGCCCGAACCCAGGTAAGCAAGGGCCGATGGGGGACACGCGGAGCGACGGGCCCTCCCACCCGTCCGTCCGCCCACCAGTCCCGGGGCCGCGACCCGACCCCGGCCCGAGCGCGCTCCTCACCGGGTCCCAGCGCCTCCATGGCGGCGGCGGGGGCCGCCTCGGCCCGGTCCCCGGCGCCTCCCGCTCCGGGCCCCGCCGCCGCCGCCGCCGCCGCGTAACGCTTGATCTCCGGAATATTGGCGCTGGGGGGGCGCCGCGGAGGCGCGGGCGCTGGGCAGGGGGCGGCGGCGGCGCCCGGCCCGGGGACAGGGACCCGGCTCCCGCGGCTCTTCCTGCCTCAGCGACAACAAAAACAATCCCCGCCGCCGCCGCCGCCGCTGCCAGCGGGAGCGGGAGCGGGAGCGGGAGCCAACGCGCGCGCCCGGCGGGCGGGGAGGGGGCGCGGGGCGCGCGCGGCCCAGGGTCCGGGCTCGCGGAGGGGGCGTGCGCGGCCCCGGGCGCCGGGTCCAGCGAGCCCGGCGGGGGGGGCGGGAACGGGGGGGGCGGGGGCGGGCGCGCGCCCGGAGGGGGCAGTGCCCCGAGGACGTGTCGGATGCGCGCGCGCCCGCCCGCACTGCCCTGTAGTCCACGCTGCCAGGCGGGCAAAAGGCTGTGGGGGGCTTCGCGCGGTGGTCCCAGAGCCACCCGGCAAACAGTGCCCCGCAAAAGACCGGGATCCCAGAGCCCGCGGATACACAGACACAGTTCTCCACTTCTGTGGGTGGAAAGTGTCCTATGAGTCACGCCAGGCACCTCTACTCCTTCCTCTCCCCTCGGACCCCTTCTCTCTCCTCTGTCTCCTCTTTCTCCACCGTCCTGGGACAGAGAACACCACCAGGGTCAACACAGATGCAGTACTTTTCCTCCACTGCTTCATCCTAATCTCACTCCCGGTTGCCCTTCCCTCCCCATGCAGCCCGAAAGCACCCGGGAATGGGCCACGATGCATGATGCATTCTCATTCACCACAAGCACCTCTGGTCAGCAAGTCACCAGTCACTTCAGAAAGGCAAGTCTTGCTTTCTCCGTTGATTTCCTCTTAGCAGCCAAGAGCCAAAGGAGCTACACCGAGTCCGGGGCAACATGGCCAGCCCGGCAGGACCAGCGCCTTTGGGGCCTTTAGCTGGAACTTGGAGTTTGAGAGCACAGCACTACAGGCCAAGAAGCAGTTTCTCGGGGCGCCTGGGTGGCTTAGTCGGTTAAGCGTCCGACTTTCGCTTAGGTCATGATCTCGCGGTTCGTGGGTTCGAGCCCCGCGTCGGGCTCTGTGCTGACTGCCAGCTCAGAGCCTGGAGCCTATTTCAGAGTCTGTATCTTCCTCTCTCTCTGACCCTCCCCTGCTCATGCTGTCTCTCTCTCTCTCTCTCTCTTAGAAATAAATTAAAAAAAATATTTAAAAAAAAAGCAGTTTCTCGTCAGCGGAATGAGGGAGCCTTCTGCTCGCCTGGTAAAGAGATGCAACACGTATGTGCCGTCTTAGCTTGCTAGGGCTGCCATCACAAAATACCACAGACTGAGTGGTTTAAACAACAGAAATTAATTTTCTCCCAGTTGTGGAGGCTGGACATCCAGGATCAAGGGTTGGTTTCTTCTGAGATCTCTTTTCTTGCTTGTTGGACAAGCCTTTTCTCGTTGTCTTCACATGAAGACGTGTCTATGTCAAAATGCCTTCTTACTATAAGGGCACCAGTTGTGCTGGATAAGGGTCCAATTTAAAGACTTCGTTTTAACTTAATTACCACTTTAGAGACCTTTTCTCCAAATAGTCACATTCTGAGACAGTGGGGGCAAGGATTTCAACATATGAATTTTGAGGGGAACTTGAGTCAGCCCATAACATGTAAAATGAGATATTCATCTGAGCACCTACCATGTGCACCCAGACAACCAGGTAATCATTGCATGTAATGATTAAAAATGTTAGGGGCACACCATGGCCAGGCACTGTATTATGGACTTCACGTATCATTTAATCTTCACAACCACCTTTAAAGTAGGTATTTTTAAGGAAGGTAGTTGTACAGATGAGGAAACTGAAGCTCAGGGAAGCTAAGGAAGTCAGTCTCTGCGTTATATGATGTGGTAGTGATGGATGGAAAAATTGGAATTCTAAATTCTGCATTCCAGCTCTAGCTGGTTCCATTCCTGACAGGCTGTGGAAGTGGGACTTTACAATAGCTGAATAGCTGATAGTGTACGCATTCCAGTTTCTTTCCATAGCATCATGCTACCTCTCTGCTAAACCAGATATTAAATGGAAACAATAATAGGGGACAGCAAGTTTGAAAAGGAGGAAGTATTCACTAAATGAGCAGCCTGGTTTGCAGCTAAGAGAGTAAGAAAAGCCGACTAGAGGTCAATCTTTGAGTTAAAGCTAATAGCCACCTCCCTTCTCCACTCCAGGCTAAATTCATCCCACAGTTTAAACAGTGGTGGTGGCTTCCAGCTTGAGTTGAAGCTGACTTTCCCTCTTGCACTTCCTAACAAATTTCCCCCACATTCTATTTGGTACCCTGAGCAAAGACAATATAGCTTGTTTCCTGTACCGAAAATAGCCTTAGAAACCTAAGTATGAAATGTATTGACCCTGTAGTTTTGGTTGGAACTGCAGAACCTCAATCCCTGTGTCTCAGTCTGTCATTCTTGACCACTCTGATCATCTACATTCTCATTTTCAAAGTCACTCTAGCACCCACTGGCCCCTTTCCCAAGACCCTTCTGACTGAGCCCTCCCACACCAAAGGCCTGTAGTCAGTAACTCCCCTGAGCCTTGGCCTGTTCAGCAAGCCCTTCCTCCACTTCCTGCTGTGGCTGAGAAGAAGCCAGGCCCCAAAATACCACTTCCCTCTCAGCTCTTTCTGATGGTGGTTGCTCATTCTCCCGCACCTCACACAGGACACGGTGGGGGGTGGGTAGAGAATTAGTAATATATTTGCCCCCATTACCCCAAACCTTGAATTCTCATTCTTATATTAAAACCACTTGCGGGGCACCTGGGTGGCTCAGTCAGTTAAGTGTCTGACTCTTGATTTTGGCTCAGGTCATGGTCTCACGGTTCAAGGGATCGTGTCGGGCTTCAGATTCTCTCTCTCTCTCTCTCTCTCTCAATAAGTAAAATAGTAAATAAATAAATATTTTAAAAACAAAACAAAGAAACTTGCCATCTGGCCTAACCACCACAGGCTCTCCCTTGGTGGTATAATTAATTGAGCCGCTGGTCTTATGTTCAGTCCAGGCTTAGCTCCCATTATTATAAATCCTTGAAGTCAGGGCTTATGCCTTATTTGGGTATTCATGTTTGTGTTTCTGTTGCCTAACACATTATCTGGCACCAAGTGCCTGCTCAGGGAAATTTATGGGGTGAATGAATGAATGACCAAGTAATGTATAAACATCAGGAACTAGAAATTCCAATGGAGGGGCCTCGATGAAAAACTCTGAGTGACCTTCCAGCTTCTTCAGAGCACAGATTTTCAAATCTGATGACTCTGAGTTCAAATCTCAGTTCAACAACATACTAGCTCCAAGTACCTGGGACAAGTCCCGTCACCTACTGCTAAAGGAGTCAGTAAGGAGGAAGTTAAATCATATATGTGCATGTTCCTGTGTGTCTGGCACAGAGTAAGTACCCAGTAGTCACCAATGTTTTCCTCCCTTCCCTCCTTCCCTAGCGCCCAACCCCTGCTCAGCTAAAAGCTGCTTCTCTGCCACTCTCTTGCTATCCTTTGAGAGACAGAGAACCCAAGATCTCAGCTCAGTCCAATAGAGGGGAGCAGAACTGTCAGGGACTGATAGTATGTTAACACATCCTGTATGTGAGCCCCCAGAGGACAGGGACTTGGCTCACCCATCCGGGGGTGAGAGCCAGAACACACTCACTCAAGGCTTATGAATGGGACCAAACCTCTCAAATGTGTCAATGCTCCCCTGAGACCACATAGAGCCAGAGGGAGCCTCCCTAGTGGACACTGTACCAGAAGGCAGGACCCCAGCCCACAGTGCTGTTTCTGACACTCCAACCCTTGTCTGGGCCCCTGCTCGCTTTTGATGTTTTGATTCCTGGCTTTCCTCGCAGAAACATTCGGCAAGTCTGGAACTTAGAAGTTGGGGAGGAGCTTCTTGGCAATTGATCAAGGGCTTTCACTCTTTTTTTTTTTTTTTAAGCTGGGGAACCCCTTATTCAAACAAAAATCTCAAGTGGGACTGAAGTGGAGCCACTTGGCTGAGGAGGAGAGGACCCTGCACCGGACACTGCTTGCCAAGAGACACCACCTGGCATCCAAATGGAATTTCTGCCCACCTGCTCCTACTCCACTGGCAGCCTTTTGCATTTTTTTTTTACTGGGATAAAATTCGCATACTATAAAATTTGCCATATTACAGTGTAAATTTCAGTGGTTTTTAGTGTATTCACAAGGTTGTGCAATCATCCCCACTAATTCCAGCACATTTTCATCATCCAAAAAGAAACCCTGTATCTGTTAGGAGTCACTCCCCCTTCCTTCCTCTTCTCAGCCCCTGGAAACCACTAATTTACTTCCTGTCTATGTATTTACCTGTTCTGGACATTGCATATAAATGGAACCACACAATATGTGCGTTTTTGAATCTAGTTTCTTTCACATACCATAGTGTTTTCAAGGTTTATCCATGTATCAGTACTTCATTGCTTTTAAGGCAAACCTGTATTTCAAAGAACCTTTCTCTGCAGCAGATTTTGCACAATTACACTTGAAAATTGGCAGCTCAACTTTTTTGTTAGCTTTTTTGGCAGCTCAATAGGAAAGTTCAACTTTTTTCCCCCACATAAACTGCTCGCTTATTAGCATCGGTACTGCAGCATAACAGCTTCCAAGAGATATGCTGAGCTGCACGGATGTGGCAGAATGAGGCAAGGCTCAGGTGCATGGATGGTGGGCTGTTTCTTCCACCTTTTCTTGTAGCAGTCCCACTTGGCTGAGAAGCCCTGGATCGGGCTGACCTTCATGCTGAGCATCCGAAAACAACATTTTAAGCATGGTCGTACTGGAAATTTTGGCAAGACTTTTACTCAGTACCTAGATGTGTATAAATGTACATAAGACAAACCTAGTAAGCATGACCTGGGGAAATGGTCAGAAGTTGTATTGTGTTTTTGGCCTTGAGAGTAACAAGCGACTAGAATCTGCCATGGCAGCAGGCTTTAAAAAGACCCTTAAAAAGACACCGTCTCGACTGTGGTGTAGCACCAGCCAGTTCTCTGTACATTTGCTAGCTTGTAGTTTTCTAAGACTGAGTAAACTTCTTATTTTTAGAAAGTGGAGGTCAGGTTTGTAACTTTCCTTGTACTTAATTGGGTAATGGTCTTTTCCACAAACCACTATCTACTTTGTGAACTGTTAGTCATCTTTTATTTGGTAAATTATGAAGTGGTATAAATTTGTACAGTTCATGTATATTGATTGTGGCAAAGTTGGAAAGATTTCTGTATTTTGGATGGGAAATTTTTCTTCTCTTTATAATAAATTGTTTCTTATCTTGGCATTAAAAAATACTTCACTGCTTTTAAAGCTGATTAATATTCCATTGTATGTATGCACCGTATTTTGTCGATCCATTCATCAGTTGATGGACATTTGGATTGTTTTCATTTTTTGGCTATAATAATGCTTCTGTGAACACCTGTTACAAGTTCTTATATGGATACATATAAGTTTTGTGTAAATATGTAAGTTTTCAATTCTTCTGGGAGTAGAATTGCTGGGTTATATGGTAACTGTATATTTAACTATTTGAGGAAATGTTTTCCACAGTGGCTACACTATTTTCTATTCCCATCAGCAATAAGTGAGGGCTCTAATTTCTCCACATTCTTGCCAATATTTGTTATTTTCATATTTAAAAAATTATACATATCCTTGTGGGTAGAAAGTGGTATCTCATTGTGTATTTGGTTTGCATTTCCCTAAGGGGTGATGGCATTGAGCATCTACTTATGTGTTTATTGGCCATTTGTATAACTTCTTTGGAGAAATGTTAATTCAAATCTTCTGTCCTTTTTATTTATTTTTATTTTTAAAATTTTTTTTAAAAATGTTTTTATTTATTTCTAGGAGAGAGAGAGACAGCGTGAGCAGGGGAGGATCAGAGAGAGAGGGAGTCACAGACTGAAACAGGCTCCAGGCTCTGAGCTGGCAGTCAGCACAGAGCCCGACGCGGGGCTCGAACCCACGAACCACGAGATCATGACCTAAGCGAAAGTCGGACGCTTAACCGACTAAGCCACCCAGGCGCCCCTATTTTTAAAATTTTTTATAATTTATTTATTTTTGAGACAGAGAGAGGCAGAGCATGAGTGGGGGAGGGGCTGAGAGAGAGGGAGACACAGAATCCGAAGCAGTCTCCAGGCTCTGAGTTATCAGCTCAGAGCCTGATGTGGGTCTGGAATCCCCAAACTGCAACACCATAACCCCAGCTGAAGTTGGGCGCTCAACTGACTGAGCCATCCAGGCACCCCAAAAATTGTTAATCTAAAAAAGACTTTTCTAATGCCTAGACTTATCCAAAGGGAGGGTTTTTCAGGAAGTAGTGAGCTCCAGGCTCTGAGAGTATTGAAGCAAGTTTTAAATGATGAAAAGTTAAGATCAGATGACTTTTGTGTTTCTTTAGAGTCTATTAAGTTACTATGAAAATTTCATTGACTTATACGTTACTGAGGTTTTTTTTAAGCTTCCTTATTTATTTATTTTGAGAGAGAGAGAAAGCATGAGTCTGGGGAAGCACAGAGAGAGAGGGGGAGAAAGAGAATCCAAAGCAGGCTCTGTACTGTCAGTGCAGAGACCGATGCAGGGCTCAAACTCATGAACTATGAGATCATGACCTGAGCTGAAGTTGGACACTTAACTGACTCAGCCACCCAAGTGCCCCAACTTACATGTTACTGAGTTTTTCAGCAACTATTTATTATTTGCCACGTGCCAAACCCTAGGTAGGCTAGGTAATGGGGACACAAGGATGAGCCAGAATGGCGGGGTTCCTCTCCTCATGCAGCTCATAGTCTAGAAGTGAGACTAACAATAAAAAGAAAATAAACCAAAAGAATAAGATAATTACAAATCATTAAGAGAGTTTTAGAATAAATAAAGAAAATGAGATAGAGTACCTAGGGGGGGATCATTTTAGAGAAAGGAGGAAATGATAGCCTCTCTGATATAGTGACATTTGAGCTGAGAACTTGTGGATTTAAAACATGGCCACAAATGCTTTGACCTTTCACCCATTAAGAGGTGGAGTCTGTGTCCCCTCCCTTTGAATATTAGTGGGCTTGTGACCACTTTGACCAACAGAGAATTGCAGAATTGATGCTATGTGGCTTCCATAGTTAGGTCATAAGAGGTCATGCAGTTTGTACCTTGAGCTGCTATACAAGAAGTCTGACTACCCTGAGGCCATCATGTTGGAGAGGCCATGTGTAGGTGTTCCAGTTGACTGTCCCAGCTAACACCAGCTTTCCAGCTATTTCTGCTGAAGTGCCAGACATATAAGTAAAAAAGCCTCCAGATGATTCCAGCTACTAGCCATTTGAGTCACTCCTATCTATTTGAGTCTTGATAGATGAGGCTCCAGATGTTACAGAATAGAGACAGCTATTTCCACTATTATATCTTTTTTCATAAAATAAATTTTGTGTCCAATGTGGGGCTTGAACTCATGACTCTGAGATCAAGAGTTGCATGCTATACTGACTGAGCCAGCCAGGGGCCCTCCACTATTATTTTTCTGAATTCTTGACCCACAGAATTCATGAGCATAATAAAATGGTTGTCTTTTTTTTTTTTTAATTGGGATAGAATTGACATAGAACATTATATTCGTTTTAGGTTTACAACATGCTTTTAATATTTGTGTATATTGTGGGGCACCTAGGTGTCTCAGTCAATTAAGCATCCGACTTTGGCTTAGGTCATGATCTCATGGTTCATGGTTTGAGCCCCACATTGAGTTCTGTGCTGACAGCTCAGAGCCTGGAGCCTGTTTCAGATTCTGTGTCTCCCTCTCTCTCTGCCCCTCCCCAACTTGTGCTCTGTCTCTGTCTCAAAAATAAATAAAACAAAAAAAAATTTTTTTAAATATTTGTATATATTGCAAAATAATCACCACAATAAGTCTAGTTAAAATCTATGGCCACACATTGTTACAATTTTTTTTTCTTGTGGTGAGAACTTTTAAGATCTACTGTCTTAACAACTTTCAAATATGCAGTATAATGTTATTTGTTATTTATTTGTTTGTTTTATTTGAGAGAGAGCACATGCATACAAGCAGAGAGAGAGAGAGAGAGAGAGAGAGAGAATCTTAAGCAGGCTCCATGATCTCATGACCCTGGGATCATGACCTGAGCCGAAATCAAGAGTCAGACATTCAACTGACTGAGCCACCCAGGTGCCCCTAAATACACAGTATAATATTATTAACTGTAATCGCCATGCTGTACACTATATCCTCAGGAATTATTTATTTTATAAATGGAAGTTTGATCCTTTTGACCCCCTTTACCCATTTCACACTCCTCTCCCAACTCTTGCCTCTGGCAAACACCAGTATATCTATTCTCTGTATCTAGAGTTTCTTGTTTTTGTCTGTCTGTTTTAGATTGCACATATAAGTGAAATCATACAGTATTTGTTTTTCTGACTTATTTCACTTAGCATAATGTACTCAAGGTCCATCTATGTTATCGCAAATAGCAAGATTTTTATGGGCTGAATAATATTCCACTCTATATATATACAACACATTTTCTTTATTCATTCATCCATCAGTGGACACTTAGATTGCTTCCATGTCTTGATGATGGTAAATAGTGCTGCAATGAATGTTAGGTATCTGTGCATATATCTTTTTGAGTTAGCATTTCATTTCCTTCAGGTAAATATCCAAAAGTGGGTTTGCTGGATCATATGATTCTTCTATTTTTAATTTGTTGAGGAACCTCGTTACTGGTTTCCACAGTGGCTGCACCAATTTGCATTCCCACAACAGTGCACAAAGTCCTCACCAACATTTGTTATGAAATGGTTGTTTCATTATGCCATTAACTTTTGGGGTGATTTGATACCCACAATAGATAACTATAGTAGCAACAGATAAGTCTGTTTTCCTTTCCTTTCCCAGTTCTGAATCTCACTCCTACAAGTAAAGATGAGTGAAGACATGACCTAAGGGTTGTAAAGAGAAGGAGGAAAAGGAAGGCAATAAAAAGAAAGAGATCAGGGGAAAATGTAAAATGTGGAGGAAGAAGATGAGGAAGAACATAAGGAGGAAGAGGAAGAGCATGAAGAGGAAAAGGAATAGAAGAAAGAAAAGCCCCTACAATATCGAAGCAATGTGTATGGTGAGGATGATGGTAGAGAGAAGACACTTAGATTCTCTTCTTGAAGCTGTAGCCAGTGGGAAATATTGAAGGAAAGAACCTTGCCTCATTTATTTCCTCATCCTTAATATTTGTTTTTTTTGTTTTTTTTGTTTTTTTTTGCAATTAAAAATGTTTAAAGTAAGTTTATTGTTATTAGCGGTAAAACTGACAGAACACATCAACTGATAGATTGCAAAGTAAAGGAAGAGAGAATTAAACAATGTTAAGGTCCAGAAGTTTAGAAAGTGAAAGATAATACACTTCTCTTAGTTTACATGGCCACAGCCACCTCCCGGACTCCACCTCTTTAGTCAGAGTCGAATCTGAGAGGCCTGAACAAAATTAGGATGCAAGCCAATTCTTACTAATAAGAGTAGTATATACGTGCCAACATGCTATTTTGTAGGGCATTCCAGGAAGGCAAATGATCTTAAATAGCCCCCCTCTTCCAGGACCGGATATTCTATCATTATTACTTCCACTTTTTTTTTTTTTTTTTAAAATCTCACTGTTTATTCCAAGCCAGCTCTTTGTTATTGTTTTGTTTTGTTTTTTTTTCAACAAGAGATTCCATTTCCAACAATGGTTCCTTAACCCTCCTTGACTCTCATCCTTACCCTCTCCTCTCCAGCCTTTTTCTTTACATCACAGAATGGAAACCAGTCAGAGTTAAAGCCTGGAAGGCGCCCTCCTTTGAGCTACCCACTGTTCTCAGGACAGCTACCTACAAAATTGGAATTAACACTTCATTCCTTTACCAGTTCACATGGTGTTCTCTCTTCTTTTTTTACAAATAGTTTATTGTCAAATTAGTTTCCACATAACACTCAGTGCTCATCCCCACAAGTGTCCTCCTCCATGCCCATCCCCCCCTCCCCCCCACATCCATCAGTCCTCAGTTTTTGTCAGCATTCAAGAGTCTCTCATGGTTTGCCTCTCTCCCTTTCCCCCACCATTTCCGCCCTTCTTCTCCCCCTTGTTCCTCCGTCAAGTTCCTCCTAATCCTCCTATACGTGCAAACATGATATTTGTCCTTTTCTGCCTGACTTATTTCGCTCAGCATAACACCCTCAAGGTCCATCCATGTTGCTACACAGGCCAGATTTCATTGTTTCTCATTGCCATGTAGTATTCCATGG